CACACCACCATGCCCGGCTAACTTTTTCTATATATATTTTTAGTTGTCCAGATAATTTCTTTCTATTTTTTAGTAGAGATGGGTCTCACTCTTGCTCAGGCCGGTCTCGAACTCCTGACCTTGAGCGATCCACCCGCCTCGGCCTCCCAGAGTGCTAGGATTACAGGCGTGAGCCACCGCACCTGGCCTACAGTGAAAAATTTTAAATAGATATTAGTATTATATAGTTTGGAGATATAATAATTTATTTAACCAATTTCCTAGTCTGGGACATTGAGGCTATTTCTAATTTTTCTTATGATAAATAACATGATAAATATCCTACATATAAAACCTTTTCTGCCTGTTGTTCAAGGCCATATTTAAGGCATTTTGTTTTAAGAACATATTTATTCCCAAATTACCCTCCAGGAAGATTGTGGAAGTTAAATATAACATTAAATGGGAATTAAGGATAACTGTATAATCCAGCTCACAAGTTTCAAAACCTAAAACATCATTTTTAGACCATATCCTACATGAATTATAATGGAATTGTATCATCTTGAAAATACTAAAGATACATAAGGTTAGAGCTTGAGAATTTTGTTACGTCATACTATAATTTGACCTGTATCATTTTCTTGTCCACATCCATGAGCCAAAGCTAAAGACTATAAAATAGTATGCCAGAGCCCAAAATTTTTTCCTTCGTCGTTTGCCTCCCAATCCTGACAGAGACTGAATATGCTATTAATTAATTAAGGGCTCAAGATAAATGCTGACATCAATACATTTAGAGATTTCGACAAAAGATTCTGAATCTTCAGGAAGATGAAGATGACTTACTCTTAGTAATGCTGAATTGGTATTCCTAAGTAGTAGCAATTTTAATATATAATTATCAGTTTGGAAGGAAATGATAATAAAACAAAGTTTTGAGTCTAGATGGGATAAAAATACACAGTTAACTGAATAAAGGGCAAAGACATAATAACATTTGAAAATGCCAATTTTCTTTATACTTTTAGGGAGGGTGTATAATGGCAAAAATTTTTAGTACTGAGAGCTGTAACTATATAAGCTTTTCCTCTCTGTCCATTGACTCACAAGTGACATCAGTTGCTGAAGCAGTACATTTATCAGAATCACTTAAAGGGGTTTTAAAAAGTCTAGTGCCCACCATAGTATGCAAACCATACTAATAAATCAGAATCTTTAGTATTTTTAAAAGTCGTCTGGATGATTCCAATGTGCAAGTCAAGGGTGGAAGAATCCTTAGGTGAAGTAATTCATTTGTTACAATTAGGTGTAAAATATATTTAAAAGTAATCACAAATGACATATGAACAAGATCAATAATACTTCTGTATAAAATATTTTGACATTCTAACCTTTAAATATTTTAGTGCTTTAATATTAGCAAGGCAAAGTTTTCTTATTTTTAGAACACTATAATAATCAGAAGAGAGAACCAACTAATTAAAAGACACTTTAATTTCTAAACTCATAGATAAAATTCATAAAAAACCTATTTACAATCTTAAGGCAATCTCATATTATAAAGATTTAATTTTAAACTGTTCAAATATGAGGCTAACCACAATAACAACAAAATGTTTTGAAATATTCAGTTATTAAATATGGATGATTTAAGATCTTTCTTTTCTGGAAATGCAAATACAAGGCCAAAAGGAAAAGGGCTTGCCATTTTATACAACTATCATATCTATGATAACAGGAAATTAGAAACTTAACTTTCTTATCCATGCAGTTTCTTTCCTTTGGTTCTCTAACGACACCTACTGGAGACTGCTGATAGTTGCCTATGCCTTTCTATGTCTGGGATCCTGCCAGACCACTTTAAAAAATCTCTAAATTACTGCCTACTATTTTTATTCAGTTAGAATCTGAACAGAATGATAGGTTTTACTGTTATCTGTTCCTTATGTTTTTATTAAAACAAACAAAACTTACCCTTCCTTGAATATTCACTTATATTATTATAATCTAGATGGGGGGAAAAACTATCAGTTATTTTTAAATTCATTAAACTTAAACAATAGAAATAAGAAAGCATCTCCTTGAAACTACAATTGGGTAATAAATATGAGAAGAAAAACTTCTCTAGGAGAATAATAAAATCACTATTTTTTAAAAGGAAAGGTTGTAAGAAATAGATTCTTTTCTTTTTTTGCTTTTTTACCTTAGACCTTTTAAAAATAGTGAAGCCGTTTAAGAACATGCTTAATTTAAATCCTTTACCCAAAAGGCCACCCGTTTCATCCGTAGTAGTTACTGCTATATCAATTCAGATTATTTTAAATTAATTATACTCTATAAAATAGCAGTTCGAGATTAGTTCAAATCTTATCCTCTCCATGAATCCTTTGAATGTTAGACCACTATCATTTTCCTTTAATCTTTTATTAATAATTTAGACATATATTGCCTAAAATATCTTATAACCATAACTATAGTTACATTATACACAGGGAGGTATAGGCTACAAATAAATTTGGGAAAAACATCTTTTGAAATTGAAACTAATAAAAATCAACATAAATTTCATTCACTTTTCTATGCACTGAAAAGAAACTATCCCAAGACCTGTTTGAGAAAGGTATTGCTGACAAGACTAAATTATCTTTATAAGTCTTCATCAAAGGGACCAAGGTAAATTATCTATCTAATTGGTATCCTCTGGAAGACATAACTGGATAAAATGATATAATAATAAAAGCTTTGATCTAGTTAAATGAATTGTTGTTAGTCTAGCATGAGAATGAGAGAGAGAAAGAATATATGAATGAATGAATAAATGTGGACAGTAATAATTTGTAAACTATTAACCAGACTAGCCCACAGGAGAGATCTCCTTCCCATTTAATTTCTCAGATAATAAGAGAATTTCTGGGATAGTAGATTTTGATCCCTGGGAAAGGTATATGATCAGTTATTAATTAACAAAAACTATCATTCTCAATGAGAAGTCATTATCAAACTGTGCTTTTTCAAAATTAAAGTTCATTTTTGGGTGGAGGCATCTTATATTTACTTTTTTCTCACATGACAGCATAAAATGGAAATCCCTACATACTATTTATTAATGCTTCTAGTCATACTTTCCCCCCTAATTTTACTGAGGTGTAATTGGCAAATAAAAATAGAGTATGTTTAAGGTATACAGCATGTTTTGCTATATCTATGCCCTGTGAAATGATTACCACAATTGAGTTAATTAACATATTTATCACCTCACAGTTACTTGTGAATAATTAAACAAGAACCTTTATCTCATCTTCGCCTATCATTTATAAGAAATCTTTTATGTTAATGAGATCTTCTGACAACAATCTTCTTACCCACCCATTCTCTATTACGCATTCACTGAACCAATTACATATTATATTTTAGGATAAGTGAACTACTGAAGATGTTTACCTTTGAGCTTCTTCCACATGAGCACATAGAACCCCAAAGAGCTTGGCTGCAGAGCTAATAACTGACAGTGTTGGAGGTAGGGGTTTAGGCACTGAATCTCCCTCTACATCTTTCTCATAAATAGAATAAGGGTCATATTCGAGACTTCCACAAGCAACACCATTACCAAGCAGGAGCTAAGGAAAAAAAGGTATGTAAGGTTTTAAAATCACTATACACAGACTAAATCTAACCAAGAGTGATTAAAAACGGCCATACCTGTTCTTCAATAAATCTATGGTCAGTCTCCTGCAGTAAAGGACTTAATATCAAAAGATCATCCTGATGACAGAGGGGTGGAAGTAAAAATGTAGATGCTGCCACCTGGATATCAGGGGTAGTCAAGTCAGCAGCCAGTTCTTTGAGGACAGCACAGAGGTTTCCTGGTGAGTCAGAGAAAAAAGAGCAATTTGCAATTAGTACTAGCAGTTAACTGATTAGAGTATTGGGTTAAAAAAGCCCAGGCTGAGCTTTAATCCACAACACTGGCAAATTTTAATATATCATAGCCAAAGCCAAAGATCGTATTTCTCATCCTTGAAAACTACCCTACAAACAAATGTCTCAACTATGTGTTGCCAGTCACAACACTAATAATGGATACTAGAAGGACATCTTTCAAAGTATGCATGTGTATATACATATCTTATGATATAAAATGACATGATATACAAAAACAGATTTTTAAAAAGATAAATATACACAAGCAGATAATTATATTTGTTTTTAAAAAAGCATAACCTGAAAAAATTTATAAGAACTAGGCTGAAAAAATTTATTAGACATGATTTTATTATGTAAAATTTCAAACACATACAAAAGTATTACATAACAGTATTATGATCCCAACCCCCCTCCACTCAGCATATGGTCATCATTCATCTCCAGTGGAACAATCTTGTTCACCTACATCGCATTCACTATCCTACCATCCCCCATATTATTTTGAAGCAAACCCCAGACAGCACATCATTTCATCCATAAATATTCCATTGTGTATCACCAAAGGACATTTTATTTTACACATAATCCCACTATCATAATCTCGTTTTAAAAAACTACTAAACATCAAATACCCATTCAGTATTCAAATTTCCAATTGTCTCATAAATGCCTGTTTTTGTTTCTTCTGTGTTTGAATCCAGATCTAAGTAAGGTCTACACATTGCAGCTAGTTGTTATATCTTCAGTCTCTTTAAATCTAATACTCTCCCTCTACCTTCCCCAAAACTCCCCAGTAATTTATTTGAAGAAACAAGTTTATTTGTTCTGTAGAACTTTCTATAGTCTGGATTTTTATGATTATAGCCTGCTGGTGTAGTTTAGTTTGTTCCTCTATCATCTGTATTTTTTTTTTTTGTAAATTGGCAGTTGGATCTAGAGAGGTTCATTTTTGTCTGTATTTTATTTTGTGGGGGCAGGCTAGTTTATAGGTGGTACTGTGTTCTTGCATAAGATAGAAGACAACATATGGTTGTCTCTCTAATATATACATTTGGAAACATTGGTTCATTTGTAACATTGACCAAAATTATCATCTCACAGATGCATTAGCCTAATTTCTGAGGGATTATAAAAAAAAAAAAATTTAGCCACATGGAGCTTAAATGGCTTTTGCCACTTTGTAAGTTAACTACTGAAGGAATGAGTAAAAATCACCTTCAAGAAATGTTTACTTTTGTAAACGTTTCTTTGAGCAATAGCATCAGGATGAAATGAGGACTACGGTGATTTCCACCTATTAGCAGTGGTAGGATTAGGTAGGAAGGGGTCATCTGCCATCATTTTCTATTTATATATCATTAGTAACAATAAAAGCAGTAGCAATGAATAGTTATCAATGATTCAATGTATGTCAGGAAATGTCCTAAAAGCTTTACATATAACCCTCATAATAACCTCTGAGGTTAGGTTTTAGTACTGTCATTTTACAGGTAAGAAAACAGGAAAAGAGAGTTTGTTATTTGGCACAGCAATTACACAGCAGAGTCAGAATGAAATCTAGGCATCAGGCTCCAGAATTTGAGCCTTTGACCACTATACTTAATTATTCATTTATTCAAATTGTGTTTAAGATGCTACAGAGAACAATTTTTATTATATTTAATCTTCCTTTCCAGAAGCTATAAAATATGGGTTACAAATATATACATATGATATGAAGGTAGGAAGTACTATGTTTCATAAAAGATAAAAACAAAAGTATTAGTATGTTTAGAGAAAGGAGAGATTACATACTGGAACTGGGGAGGGTGAACAGGGATGAATGAAGTCTTAATGAAGCAAATGGGCCAGGCATGGTGGCTCGCGCCTATGATCCTAGCACTCTGGGAGGCCAAGGCGGGAGGATAGATTGAGGTCAGGAGTTGGAGACCAGCCTGAACAAGAGCAAGACCCTGTCTCTACTAAAAATAGAATAAACTATCCAGGTGTGGTGGCGCACACCTGTAGTCCCAACTACTTCGGAGGCTGAGGCAGGAGGATCTCTTGAGCCCAGGAGTTTGAGGTTGCAGTGAGCTATGATGATGCCACTGCACTCTAGCTGGGGCAACAGAGCGAGACTCTGTCTCGAGAAAAAAAAAAAAAAGAAAGAAAATAAAAGAAAAAGGAGCAAAGGAAAATTGCTCAAAGGAGGTTTAATTATCAGCATATGACACTTGGCAAAATAACTTTGTTGGTTGTACAATATATGCAAGGTATGTTTGGCCGTATAGCTAAGTGTGAAAATAGTAGAAAATTTCTATTTCTCATTTAAAGTGATTACTGTCTCAATTGTCCCTGGAAAAAGTACTCAAAGATAATTAGATTTTGAAATGCAAACAGGTTTTTGTTATGGAAATTCATCATTGACTTTGTGATGGTAATTAGGAATTATTTTTAGTATAAAGCATATCAGAATATTTGAAAGGAAATCCACACAAAAACTAAGATAGCAAATAAAAACTAAGAAAATTTTTATTCCACAACCTTCAGAAAACTAAGTCACTCAAGACAAAAGTCTGCATCTGCTGGATAGCCATGAAGAAAAGTTATTTCAATTCTTAAACAATTCTGTGTTACAAAAACAATTTCTTTCTCTTATAGACTGATTTTTTGACAATACACTGGAGCAAGTGATATGATCAGAATTTTAAACTTGATTTGTTTCTTAGTCACATTTTCCAAATTAATTAGAGGAATAAATTTAAACACTACTATTTCCTTTTGTACTAAATATTTAGAACTTACTGCAGGTTACTATTGTACTATGAGCTACGTTATTTAAAGTGTCAATTGATATTTTAATGGTAAAGTTATGACTGTTCTGCTCCATATACATTATATAAATCTATTAAATTATATAGAAAATAATTTTTTAAAGAAGTTCAAAAGCCCTTAAGAAAAAAATCCTCACTTCTATTACCATACTTGTAAAGATGAAAAAAAGATGAGAAATGGTAAATTACTGCTTTTGGTTGAAACGTAAAAATATTAATACAACCATATTTTCATTTTTCTAGAAGTTGTTTTCCTTCAATTCATGTAAGAAAAGTAGATACACTTGAAAAAAGACAAAGAGGGTATATTTAGATTTTGTTTTTATGGGAGGTTCATAGTAAGTCCTGATTTTGTCTTTTAATGAACATTCTGGAATTGACTAAAAATATATATGTGTATATTCATTATTCCTTTAGGGCTCCTGATTACATTTCGAAACTTCAACTCTGAGAAAATACAAATACAAAAAAAAAGTACAAGACTTAATCTGTAGTTTAAAAATAAACTTCAAGATACTATGGTAAAAATATGAAGGGTTCCAGGTTCATCTACGTTGGAAAAAAAAAAAATTTGAAAGAAATTGCTTTTGCCAGAGCCTAACAGTTACCCGAGCTGTGGAATATAGAAATTACTTCTCAGCTTTTTACCAGATATCTAGCAGGTAACTTTTATATCGATAGAAAGCATAGACAAGAAAGACCTATCACTCAGCTCTGACTATATATTAGGTCTCCAGTAGGTTACTTTTAAATGGAGAGGCAGCACAGCATGAGGCAAACTTATATTTTAATCTTGATTCCAGTATCTATCGGGTAGGTGTTCTTGAGTTGGTTTTGTAACCTCTCTAAGACTTATATGTCAAATAAGGAAAATGTAATTAGCTCATTATATTATCGTAGGATAAATGAGATAGGATATATACAATTTCTAGCACAGTGCCTAGAATACAGAAATGGTTCTTTTGATATGGTTTCTGAGAAATGACAATGTATTAATTTTTTCAGTTCTTTAAAAGTACATAGTAAATGTTTACCTTATAGCAAACATTTTGCTAGGTACATCTAAGAACCAGAAAGAGAGTGAATGGGAACAGTATCACTCACGTAATGATAAAGGCCAAGATAGAAGCTGTAAGTCAATATTTTGAGCATTTACTGGCATAAGGATATAAGCAAATAAATGTAGTCCTTTTACAAGAAATATATTTGAACTAACACTCTACTTAATATGGTTGGCTGAAAATGATCAAAACTAAAACACTGTTAGAAGTCCCCGTAAGAGACAATTTTCAACTAGTTTACCTCTTGGAACAAGCATCTTGAATTGTTGTAGCAGCAACATATATTTTTTTTCTTTTTCCTTATAGTCTGTTTTCTGTTGCTATAACAAATATAGTATTTTCTTAAAACTATGTTTTAGATTTATAAGAAAGATTTTAGGACGAATTTTAAAGTAGGAACAAGTTTATTTTACCAACTGCAGCATTCCAGTAATCCAAAGTCATTTTTGAGCCTAATAAGAGCAAAAACTACATTATAAACTTTATAAAATCAATTATATCTTTGTAGTTCAATATTAAATTTTTATCTGAGAAGAGTTAAGAACAGAATAATGGAAAGGAATGTGTACTATATAAATAATCATTCTAGAAGGAAACTAGGAAGGGCCATATTTGTAATAGATTTACATTATATATTCTGTATAAAACCCTGGGGTCGAATCAGTATCAGTCTTTGGGAATCATTCTCCCTCCCACACACAGTAAACTAGGGAGCAGTTGAGTATTTTCCCAGAAGGAAGAAAGCAAGACAAGAAGAAGGTTTTTTAAAAAATGTATTTCATTTATTATAAAATGGTGAACACATTTACATTATATATTCTGTATAAAACCCTGGGGTCGAATCAGTATCAGTCTTTGTGAATCATTCTCCCTCCCACACACAGTAAACTAGGGAGCAGTTGAGTATTTTCCTAGAAGGAAGAAAGCAAGACAAGAAGAAGGTTTTTTAAAAAATGTATTTCATTTATTATAAAATGGTGAACACATGGATTAGGATTAAACTCCCTAAGCCTTCTAGAAACAAGGCACTAAATAACTGCCACTGTAATTCATTCATTCAAGTATTTAATGAGTGACAATTTTTAGGCACTCTACTAGCCACAAACAATAAAACATTCTGGTCTAAGGCACATACCTTCATAGGTTTCAGGAGGTAATAAAATCAATAGTTCATAAAGTCTTTGTCTATAAACTACTGATGGTGTTTTCAAAGGACTTCCACAGGTTTTTAGTATTGAAGAAAGCCTTAAAATAAAAAAAAGTATACCTTAAGTGAGTAAGTCATATAACAATGTACAGACAATGAACAGCTTAACATGTAAATTAGCTATACATATTTTAATGAGCATTAATGCTACTTTGCATTTTTAATAAGGTGTCATTGATTAAAAGGTATTAGAGGGGTTACAAGTGTCACACGTGGAAATGATTTTGCTGACTTTTCTATCACACTTCATAAAACAAAACAATATAGTCAGTTTAGATTTCTAAGGCCACAGTATTATGTCTAGAACCTGAAACTCTTACTGAATTCCAGAATTTACAACTTGGCATTTGTAAAAAACAAAAGTCTATTATGGGCCGGGCAAGGTAGCTCACGCTTGTAATTCTAGCACTGTGGAGGCCAACGGGGGAGGACTGCTTGAGGCCAGGAGTTCAAGACCAGTCTCAGCAAGAGCAAGACCATGGCTTTATAGAAAGCAGAAACAGCCAGGCATGATGGCCATGCCTGTAGTTCCAGTTAATCAGGAGGTTGAGGCCGAAGGATCGCTTGAGCCCGGGAGTTTGAGATTGCAGTGAGCTATGATGATGCCACCACACTCTCGCCAGGGCAATAGAGCAAAACCCTGTCTCCAAAAAAGAAGGAGGAGGAGAAGAAATTCTGGCAATGTTTACTCATTTGTATTTTCTAGAAAACTACAACTACTTCTTGTTATGTCTAGTTCCTAGAGGAAAAGAGTTATCTATTGACTTATCATATTATATTTTAAAATTACAGTTCCATTTTATATTTTTCAGCTTGGCAAACACTGCTCAGAGAACATTTATAAAACCCAGGTAGAATTTTTTTTTTTGAGATAGGGTCTCACTCTGTCACCTGGGCAATAGAGTACAGTGGTGTCATCACAGCTCACTGTAACCTCAAACTCCTGGGCTCAAGTGATCCTGACTCAGTCTCCCAAGCAGCTGGGACTACAGGCGTGCACCACCACACCCAGCTAATTTTTCTATTTTTTGTAGAGACAGGGTCTTGTTGTTGCTCCAGCTGGTCTCAAACTCATGGCCTCAAGGCAATCCTCCCCTGCCTCAGCCTTCCAAAGTGCTAGAATTACAGGTCTGAGCTACCATGCCTGGGACCTGGGTAGAATTTTTTAGTTACGGAAGTTAAGAATAAATCCACTGCATTTTTGTGTTTCTCTAAAGCCAGATCAGAAAATTACAGCTAACATATGAAAACTTTCAATAATATTCAAAAGATGTTAAGAAATTATAAATTATATTTTAAAAAATCCTGCAAGATTCACTTAGTTTAAATACAATAAAATTTAGTTCAGGGGAGCATATGTATATTTAAAAGAAAAACCAGTAAGATGAATAGAACAAAATAACAATTTAGGAAAGCATTTTTATTGGTTTCTGTTTCTATTAGGAGGGCCGATTATAGTCTCTGAAGGGCATTCCTGCAACAAATACACTTAGATAAGTGTAAATAAGTATAGATAAAAATTTTTCTTTTATCCTAGACAAAAGATAATTTGCATTGTTAGGCTTTCAGAAAGAGACTTTTCCAAAGCCAATCACCCCCCTACCCCAATAAAAACAAACACACAAAAAAGGCATGAAACAAAATATGAGCTGAAATCAGAATGAGAACACAAATACTAATACCAACACAGGATCTGAGACTAGGCTTGCACTCATGGGAAGGCAGGGATGATAAAGAGGGGCCTTTTTAAGGGGGTTAGGATGGTCCCAGGTTCTGAAAGGGGGAGATCAGATTAAACTCAACTGAAGAGAGAATTAGTGAATTGGAAGACAGAGCTAATGAAAACTCAGGAATAGAGAAAGGGACATTATAGACAGAGCAGAGATTGAGAAGGTAAGAGAATAATACTAAAGACAACTTTATGCTTAAATTTGAAGATGAAGATACACTGGGAAAATTCTTAGGAAAAGGTAACTTGCCAAATTTGATTTAAACAAAAAAACCCAAGCAAAACAACACCCCCCCCATATCTCAGATAGTCAAAAACAATTAAAGAAATGAAATTATGTAGTTTTAAAAAAAATCTTCCTGCAAAGAAAATACCAGGTCTAGATTGTTTTACAGACGGTTGCTCACAAAATTTTATGTGATAAATCACTTTAATCTTACATAAACTCTCCCTCAGAACTTGATGAAACATTTATATACTTCATTCTATGGGGCTAGTATCACTTTGATAAAAACTTAATGAGGACAGTGTAAGAAAGAAAATCACAGAACAGTTTCATTAATGAATATATATGGAAAAAACTCATAAGCAAACCAAGTCCAGAGGTTTATAAAAAAGTTACTTCCAAGCTCAATGTATTCCGGGAAGGCAACCAGTTAAAAAACTGGTCAATAAAATTTGTTACATTGAAGTTTATCGGATTAAACAATTCTATAAAAATCAAAATCCATTCATTATTTTTTAAAGAAAAACCAAACCAACAAACATGGCCAACTAGAAATAAAGGTTACTCTTAACCTGAAGCAAACATCATTCTTATTAGCGAAATATGAAAAGCATTCCCTTTAACCACTTCTATTCAGTTTTAAATGGCAGTTATCTAGTTAGCACATAAGGGCAGAGAAACAGAATATGAATAATTATTACAAAAGGAAAAATTCAGAAGAATCTACAAATAAATGCTCAATACAGGAGAATTTAGCAAGGTAGCTGGATGTAAGATGACGTACTTTTTTTTTTAAGGAGATGGGGTCTTGCTATGTTGCCCAGGAGGCTGGACTTAAACTCATGGGTTCAAGTGATTCTCCCATCTCTGCCACCCCTACCCCCAGTAGTTGGAACTATAGTCACATGCTACAGTGTATGGCTAAAATCAACTACATTTTTATATAGTAGCAGTAAACAAAATTATACACACCATACACCCACTTACTTAGTAATTACAACAAAAAACACAAAGTATATGGGAACAATTTTTGTAAAAGACCTATAAGACCTTTACTTAGAAAAAATTTTATACTTTGCAAAGACCTCAATAATAGTAGAGAGGTATCATGTTCATAGATATTGTAAAAATATCAATTCTCTTCAAATTTATCTATAGATCCAATATAATTACAAATAAAATTTCAAGAGGAGAAGATTAAAAGTGTAAGAAGGGCCAAAATGTCTAAAGAGGAATAAGGTAAAAAAGTTTAATCTAACATTCTAAAATTTATTGTAATGTGTTATCACAGAAATAGGCAAACACATCAATAGAAAACAGTAGAGAGCACGGAAATAGATTGTGTATACATGGGAATATAATACATGACAGAAGTGAATGGCAATCACTGAAGTATGGATTTTTTTTTTAGTACAGTATGGGACAATCCATTATCCACATTTAAAAAGAAATGAAATTGGAACCTGCTATCGTCTGCATGTGTCCTCCAAAATTCACATGTTGGAAACCTAATCCCCAATGCAACAGTGTTGGGAAGTAGGTAGGGCACTTGGGAGGTGTTTTGGTCATGAGGGCTCCATCCTCATGAATGTATTAATGTCATTATAAAACGGATTTATGGAGTGAGTTTGGCCCCCTTTTGCCCTTCATCCTTTCACCACGTGAGGACACAGAGTTCCTCCCCTCCAGAGGATACAGCAACAAGGTGCCATCTTGGAAATAAAGACCAGGCTCTCTCACCAGACGTCGAACCTGCCGACACCTTCATCTTAAGACTCCTGCCTCCAGAACTATCAGAAATAAATTTCTGGGCTGGGCATGTGGCTCATGACTGTAACCCTAGCACTTTGGGAGGCTGAGGCAGGAGGATTGCTTGAGGCCAGGAGTTTGAGATCAGCCTGAGTAAAAGCAAGACCCCCATCTCTACAAAAAACAGAAAAACTAGCTGGGTGTGGTGATATGCAGTCCTAGCTACTAAGGAGGCTGAGGCAGGAGGATCACTTGAGGCCAGGAGTTTGAGGTTACAGTGAGCTATGATGACGGCACTGCACCCTAGCCCAGGCAACAGAGTGAGATCCTGTCTCAAAAAAAAAAAAAAAAAAGAAAAGAAAAAGAAAGAAAAAAAGAAATTTCTGTTCTTTATAAGTTATCCAGTCTCAGACAGTTCATTACAGTAGCACAAAATGAATAAGACAGATCCCTACCTCACTCCAAATAGAAAAATCAATTTCAGATCAATTAAAGACTTAAATATGAAAAATGAACTTAAAACATTTCAGAGAGAAATGTAAGAAAATATCCTATAACTCGGCAGTAAGGAAGACTTTTTCAGCCAAAAGAAAAAAAGTACTAACTAAAAGGTAAACAATAAATAAATTAGACATTTAAGTAATGAATATCTGTTAATCAAAAACTAGAAGAAATTTTTAATATTTTAACATCGAAAGTACATAGTCTTGTAAATATGTAAAAAACTCCTATAAATCAAAAAAGGACAAACAAAATAGAAGTAGTTTAAAGATATGTACAAATAGGCATTCCACGGAAGGGGAAATACTGAAGAACAATAAATATATAAAATGATACTTAAACTATTAGGAATCAGATATACAATTAAAACCACAATGAGACACCGTTTAACGCCTATTGGATAGGGTAGAATTGATGTCTAAGTGTTTGTGTAAAAGTAGCTCAAAGGGTATTCATACATACTATTGGTAGAAACATGAAAGGATATCAGAAAATAATTTGGTATTATCTTATGAAGTTGAATATAAAAATACCTTTTAGCACTGCAATTTCACTGCTAGGTACATATCCTAGAGACTTAAAGACTTGAATGGAAATGTTCATGTTAGTTTTAAAAGCAGAACACTGGAGACAATCCAGAAGTCTACTGACAAAAGAATCAACATGTTGTTGTATATTCACACAATTAAATATTATACAGCAACCAAAATGAATGAACTGACACATAGCCAAAGATTAAAAACATAACGCTGAGTAAAAAAAACAAGTCCCAGAAATAACATGATAACATCTGCCTAATCAAAACCAAGCAAAAGTAAACAACATGCTACTTAGGGAAAGAAATATATATAATACATTTTTTAAGGACGTAAAGAAATGACAACTATAAAATTCAGGTTCATGGTTACCTCTAAAGGAAGGCAGAAAGAATGGTATTGGAGGGAGACACACAGATACCTTCAATGGTATTGTTAATGCTGTAATAATTCAGTGGAAGCCAAACAGGCCCACTGCCTGCTTCTGTAAATAAAGGGGCCAGGCGTGGTGGCTCAGAACTATAATCCTAGTACTCTGGGAGCTGGAGGCAGGAGGATTTCTTGAGCTCAGGAGTTAAAGAGCAGCCTGAGTAAGAGTGAGACCCATCTCTACTAAAAATGGAAAAATTAGCCAGGCATCAAGGCATGGGCCTATATTCTCAGCTACTTGGGAGGCTGAGGCAACAGGATCACTTGAGCCCTGGAGTTTAGGGTTGCAGTGAGCTATGATGATGCCACTGCACTCTACCCAGGGTGACAGAGCAAGACTCTGTCTCAAAAAAAAAAAAAAAGTTTTATTGGAACACAGTCACATTCATTCATTCATTCACATATTCCCTATGACTGCTTCTGGGCTACAACGAGAGTTGAGTAATTTCAACATAGAACTCATGGCCCACACAGCCCCAAATATTTACTATCTGGCCCTTTTCAGGAAAGGTTTGCTAACCCCTGCTCTACTTGTATTGGATTCACAGGTGAACATTTTATTATTATACTTTCCAAGCCATATCTTAAATGTATTTTTCTTTATATATAAACTGTTAATCATTAAGTACTTTTTGGAAAAACTTTCTCTATATATTTTATTATTTGCAAATTATAAGTGCTTATGCTATATATTGGCTTTTCTGTTTCTAATCATATAACTCAAACTTAGAAAAATAAAAACAAAAAACTGAAACTGTTAACAAGCATCTGGTTCTTTTGAACACAGAATATGCTAACAAACCAATAAAATGCATACCTCAAAAGGTTAACAGGATTAATATTTAATTTCCTGTTAAGTCTGCCTATATGGAAGGTACATTATTCACCCCGTAATTTTCCTTCCCTTTTAGTATGTATTTTTCTTTCAAGATCCTAGCCTAAAAAAAAAAAAATCACACAACTAAATGATTGCTTTCCTCTGCAGAAGGAAAATCATTTACCACCCATAAAAACTTGCTTTATTATTGTACTTAAGGAATATTACATAATCAGACGATAACTAGCTGCTCTTAGAAAATTTTATCAAATCTAAATAGCTGATCCTTACTGAGTTAGCAAATCCACAGCACAAGGAAGTGGTAGAAGAAGACGCTGAATTACTTCCTCAGTAAGGAGATCACCGCAGTAGGAAACAAAGGTCTTGATAGCTGAAAAAGAGAACAGACTTTTACTCAGCATAGTGTCATCGACCATAAAAGAAGCATTTGATTATGGTACAGTATAAGCATTTTTATTAGAGGAATAAAGAAATGTGCTAAAAACAAAAAGATTCTTGAAGCTCTAGTATAAAAAGGAAGCTAGTGCTTTCCAACTCTTCATCATACTATTATAAAAAAACCTTCCTAGCATTACTAAAAGAGACCAATAGGCAAACTAACAAAATGTTGCTGTCCTGGGGTTTTACTCAGCCTTTGAGCACAGAAGTTAAAAAAAAAAAAAAAAAAGAAATTAGCTTAGACTCTCAAATCTGCCAGTACTACCACTAGTTATGTGGAACCATGCTGACTTTTGAGTCAGCATATTAGGTTTTTATAAATGTTACCTCACACAAAGACCTTTCCATAAGGAGTTACTTCATACGTAGAATAAAATGAGTATTTTAAAGTTAGATTGAGTTTCAAGATCAATTTCAAAATGGGTTAAGAGAGTATAAAAATGCCATGAACAAACAAAAAACCAAAATCAATGCTGCCATGTCTTTCTAGGGATCCCACCCTTCCTTAGTTCAAATTTTCATGATGAAATGCTATTAATATTTTTAACAGTTTGTATATTGTAGAAGGGTACAACTTTCATACACAGGTGAACCCTGAATAACATGGGTTTGAACTGTGTGGGTCCATCTATATGTAGATTTTTTTCAATACAAGCTACATACGGAGGCTGCCTGCCCCCACTTCCTCTTGCTCCACTGCTTTCACCTCTGCCATCCCTGAGACAGCAAGACCAACCCTTTCTCTTTCTCCTCCTCCTCCTCAGCCTTTTCAACATGAAGATGATGAAGATGAAGACCTTTATGATAATTCAGTTCCACTTAATGATTAGCAAATATATTTTTTCTGTATGATTTTCTTAATAACATTTTCTTTTCTCCAGGTTTATTGTAAGAAAACAGCATATAATATATAAAATTTGCAGTAATCAACTATTTATTTTATTGGTAAGGCTTCTGGTCAATAGTAGGCTATTCATAGATAAGTTTTTGGGGAATCAAAAGTTGTATGTGGATTTTCGACTTCGCAGGCGGTGGGCACCCATAATCTCCACGCTGTTCAAGGGTCAGTATATACACTAAATGGAAACCACGCTTATGCAATGCTAATTAAACCAAACCCTAGTAATTCTGAAAAGAGGAATGAATCCCTACTTAAAACAAAGCAATCTTGACAGTTTTCAACTGGACTGCATCTAATAAAACATGCATTATCTCAAGGATCAGAACTTTGAAATTCGGTTTATTATGTGTCATACTTCAGTTATCATCATCTAATCAATTACATTTTTTTTGTTAAGTAACAAAAATCACTAGAGGCAGATTTTCTCTCCCATTGCACTAAATAAAACATAAAAGTACATGTAAAGACAAAGGGTGGGGATAAAGCCAAAAGAAAGAGAGAAAAAAGACTAAACTCAACCTACCACAGAGTGCACCGGCTCGTCCTTCCAGGGTTACCTGCCATGTGAATGAATCTCCTCGGCTCTTTTCTGTTTCTAGATCTTTAGGCGATGCTGGAAAGACACACTTCCACAACAGCAGAACTCGAGCAAGGTGATGACTGACAACTGCAGGACCTGTAATGTATTCAACTTGTCATTTGTAAGAGAACCCGAAGTGGTTACTCTTTAAAACTCTTATTATTAAGCAGGAATGTCTCTCTTAAAATAAACATTTTAATTCACTACTGCAATACTTTGTCCCTTTTCTTACCTTCTGGTTCCAAATGAATGTACTACTGAATGAATTATTATCCGAAGGTGCTGGAGTATAGAGAGGAAAAACAAGGAACTAATGGTAAAGCCTGGGCCCTAGTGTCAGCTGTTCCACTACTATTGTCTTCTCTGAGTCTCAGTTTCTTCTATAAATACAATGAAGCTAGTACCATCTATATTGCTTGTCTCTAAGGGTTTGTACTTTGATAGAATGTACTTTGAAAAACTCTAATGTACTACATAAATGTAAGGTACAATTATTATAGTAACAAATAACATTGAATTCCTAATCCTCAGAATAATGCTAATTTCTGATAGCAACTTACTCCAAATAAAAAATCAGATGTGAAATATCTGAAGAGAATACTTAAAAAAAAAAGATTTCAGAGCAACATTTATAAATTGAGGGGTCATGAATAAACAAACCCAGTAATAAAGACAATATAATTGATGATAGCATTACCAATTAAAAAAAAAAAGAAAAAACTAAGAAGTATAAAAAACCAAAACTCACAGCTTTTCTCTCCAAGTAATTTTCTTGAAAATTACAGGGTTACCTTAAACTTCTCCTATAAATACTCCCTACTTCTTATTCCCACATTCTGCTGACTGTGTATCTTTCTTTTGTGGTATGGCAACACAACTTAGAACTGCACTGGGCTTTGCAAGGAGACTGCCTAGGCCTAGGTTAATACCCTTACTCTACCCACTTATCAGTTGTGTCAGCCTGGAAGAGTTACTTAAGCTTTTTGTGCCTCGATTTCCTCATCTATAAATGGGGATAATAGTAATTACCTCCAGGACAGTTTCTGAGGCATATATGAGTTTATATATAGAACAGTGCTTGGCTCATGGTAAGCATTTACATACTGTTTGACATGCAATTATCACTAAAAATTTGCCTTATTTGCACAGGAAGAGGTGAGACTAATAACAAAATGAAAGAGCAATTGCAAGCCCATCTTTTTTTTAATGCATGCAAGTTAGTAGATTAAAAATAATTAATTTCTCGAGATTTCAAAGGGCCTCGGTGAGGGCACAGCTTAGGCGATTCTGTCGTTTGCGGAGCCGGGAGAGTAGCGGTGCCTCGGGCTGCAGCTCTCCTCCCCCTTTCCCTCTAAGGATGGCCCAGAAGGAGAACGCCTACCCCTGGCCCTACGGCCGGCAGACGGCTCCATCTGGCCTGAGCACCCTGCCCCAGCGAGTCCCCCGGAAGGAGCCTGCTACTCCGTCTGCACTTGTCCTCATGAGCCGCTCCAATGTCCAGCCCACAG